CCAGGAGAGGTTAGCATACGGCTCCGGGCCAGTCGTTGGCCGAACCAGACTGTAGTGCGCATGTGCGCCCTAAAAGAAGCCGACATTTTTACGTCGGCGTATGCGGCTGTGGTCACCAATGTGGGGCGACCAAGACTACATTCACTTGACCCCGTCTGTGGCGTCATGCGTTAGGAGGTAGTCGGGCTGCAGAAACACTACACCGATGCACAAAAATCCCCGCGGAACCCGCAAACGGGCTGTGCTTGCCAATTTCATCGTCCCTAAAAGCAACCGAAGGACGTGGCAGTAGCGTCAGTGTGCCTACCTTACTTCTCAGATGAAGTTTATGGGGCTGTTCACTTGCATTTCATATCCCTGCTTGTCGCACGCACTATCTCTTGATAAATGAATAATTGTTCTGTATATTGGATATATTTTTGACCAAATACACAAGCGTAATTGGAGGGCACAACTCCAACTCAACCGATATACAGTGCTTGAAATACAAATGGGGATTTCACCGAAAGTTTTAAATGAAAATTTGCCATCGAACAGTCACAGTCAACCCAGATCTTGCGAGAGATCAGCAGTAGAATTCCTGCTGCTCCCTTGAGCGTTAAGAGTAATCCCAATCGCTTGTTCGTTATCTCGTCAAAACGCGTTGCGACTTTGCCTGTTACGTTCGGCGACAAAAATATGCAGACAAAGTTGAAGTCAAAAAGTTTGCCTACGCTAGTCTGGTACCAAATCGCAGCAATAGTTGGTCTATAATACACTAAACCAAGCATTATAAAATCTAGCAAGGACACTACGTTTTCGGTTTTGCCTGCAGTCTATAATTGTCCACACTGAATTCTCGCCGAGGTGCAACCTAAGGGATTTCACGCTGAACCAGCCACTCACGGACTCAATCCAAATGGTTCTATTTACCATTCATGTCCTGGGCATTGTCGTGGATTGATCCATGCTCTGCAAAGCCATATTTATTCGCTAGTTATTATCATGGCACGTTCTGACTTTCAATCGCTCACCCAAAGACGTGAGAATAGGAAATGGAGGAGCAGATAGCATTTTCATGGTAAGTCTGTTGCAGAACAGAATGGGTGTTTCTTAGCGCCGGAACACATTAATTGTTAAATGGTCTGAGCAACGGTGGGAACATAATGGATTTTGCGTTAACATCATACTGATCACCGGAACCCTGAAGTTCTCGAATATGGGTCACGTGTGAAGCGTAATATCTTACGCCCAGAGCATATTACTCAGGTTGCGACTACCCTCATCGTCCTG